TCTATCATATTTTAAATGTTTCCAGTGCTGATCATATTTACATTAGACATGTATCTTCTTCATAAATAATGAAAGGGAAATGTTTACCTAGGCCTAGCTGCATTATCCCAAATGCCAAATTTGCAGAGTATAGTTAAGAGGTTTTACTGTACTTTAATCAAAAGAGTAGTATTTTAATCTGAGATAAATAGATATTTAGATTGTCTACTTTATCTAAGCATATATAATTATAATTATTTATAATGTATCTGGAGTAAATACTTTTGGGGAATGTTGGATATGGTAGAATATATTGGATTTTCTCTTCCATGTTCTGCTGCTTTCTTTCAGTTATCTGTAGATAACTTCTTTGGTCCTCAGTCTTTCATGTGTAAAACAAAAGGTCTGGACTAAGCCAGTGGCTTTTGTGGTTATTATGATTATTATTCCTGATTGAATAAATAAAGCTGAAAGAGGGGCTCAAGTTGAGTTGGAAGGCAACTGTGTGCCTAGGAACTCACTGGGAGCTTCCCTGACCAAAGAAAGGGAAGAAACTTTCTTTCCCTCCAGCTTCCTCTCCTAGTCACTCAGACTCTTGATGATGCTCCCCACACCCTCATTTGCCTACACAGAATAATGTAGACAAAATATTTTACAAATGTGTACGATTGGATTGTAAATATGTGGCCCATTTTGTCTTCAACGTGTGTTCTATAAAACACTGCTCAGTTATATGTAACCCCAAAGGAATTTGTGGTCCAATAAGTCAGAATAAGCCAGGAACTACTTACTATTCCCTTCTCTTAGAAACTCCCAATGCACCTCACGCAACTTCTCCAAGAAGTTCTCCTATAAGCAAATGTGTTTTTTTTTAACCTAGTAGTTTTCAAATGAATTTATTAGTTCCTATTTTACTCAGAATCTGTTACCTTCCCAGAGAGCCACTGATCTCAGTAAACTTACTTCATGGGAAACAATGATGTCTTTGCCCAAGCTCTCCGGATGTTCACTGAAGGGATAGAGCATTAAATGCCAGAGAGATGAGCGTCAGGCTAGATTCACATGCATCTCACTAACCTGTGAATTCTTACAATCGAAAGAGCCTTGGAAAATAGATATGGAAAGAAAGAAACTAAATGTTTTTACCCCATCAAAGTCTTTAAACTGACAAGTGCTGCCATTTTGTTCAGAGAGTTTTTAATTCCATAAGCAAGAGAATTGAACTACAACTTAGGAATTTGAGGTTTTCACTTTTTTTTCTTTTCTTGTGAGGACATTCCTAGAAAAAGAATGTGCTCTGACTTGTGAAAGTCCAACCTGGTTGAGTCCTGTGTCACTTGCCCTATCCCCACCTGCTTCCTGTCCTTTCACCCCTCTCAAGGGAAGAAGGAAAAGAAAAGAGAAAAGGAAAATAAGAGGAGGGGGGATTGGGTTTATAACAGCCCAAGGGGTATTAAATTCTGGCAGCTGGTGCCATGGCCTTTACTATATTAGACTATTGGGTATGTTCTGTAGTAGAAACCAGTGTCAAGGGAGGTTTTGTTTTAAATTTAGAATGATTTCTTATTCTGGATTGGTGATACTAGTATTTATACCAGAGATGCTAATATAGTTATTTTGCATCTACAGCTGACCTTAAGATTTTATTTCTTTAAAATGAAAGAATTAATAAGCAAATGCCTAATAATGCAATAATTTTAGCAGCCAAAGTCTTAAAAAAAACTCAAAGTTGGTAATATTTGTCAAATGGCTTCATGCATTTGATTGAAGGTGGGGCAATAGGGAAGGGAGGATGGGACAGAGTAGAGAGAGGCCATCTAGCATAATACTGAATTCAGACCACCCCCTTCTCCTCTTTCTGTCTTTCTTCTCTCCCCTGTTCCTCCTCAGCAGCCACACGTGGACTTCAGTACCATCTTTTGCCATCCTTGTTCTCCTGGTGGTGAATCCCCTGACCTCGGGGAGCCCCCATACCTAGAACAAACTTTCTAGAACAACTTTGTAATGACAGCCTAGTTACCTTGCCTGCCAGTCAAGTAGAAAAGAACATGGGTTGAATTCATTTTAATCTATGTCTAGATTGTTTAATCTGTTGTCTACTGAGAGTAGGGATGGCATGGTCCTGGGTTTCCTGGGTGTGTGTGGCGTGTGTGTGTGTGTGTGTGTGTGTGTGTTGGAGGAAAATTACCCATTATTGCTGGGTCAGCAAGAAAGTGTTGCTGTTTCATTCCCATCTGGTTTAACACATGTAATTAGCCGCAGAATGCTCATAAAAAAGGATGTAACTTGAGTCCATTAAAATGATCAAGGGGGCATCTGCCTTTGCTCTGGAGTCTGAGATAGTGAAAGTGTTCCAGAAAAGAGCTGGAACATCAGGACTGACACCTGCACAGGGGATGGAAACACAGAACTTCAGGGTGTGCCTTGAAGGCAAAGTCCAAACACTTCTGCTTAAAAGGAGCAGCATGTTTCTTCAGTCTCTTAAGGGCTGATTTCTGATGAGAGGACAATTTCTACTTCCCCGCGAAGCCAGTACTTCTCATTGTTCGTGGTTGTTTAGAGCGTGTTTATGATTTGTTGGGTGACTCAGGTGTTTTCCAGTAGTCTACTTTTTAAACTCATGCAGATCACAGAATTGTCACTGAATAATTAAAGTTGAAACATGAAAAATTACATAACAAAAGTCAGAGTTGAAAACCTTCAGATATTTTTTTGTCCTTTGGTGTGTGCTTTTCTACGGACTTACATTTCTTCTGTTGCACGGCCATACCTTGTTTCATTGCTTTGTTGTGTGACTATGTTTGCTTCAAAAACTACGTTTCCTTTGTTTGCTTCGAAAAGTAATACTGTCATCATTGGACCGTATCTGGTCACCAAGAAAGTTAGGAGCATCAGAACTGCCTTGAAGTGGCTTGTAGCTGGTCGGGGGACAGAAGGTGCCTGTGGAAAAATGAGCAGCAGAGAGTAGCAGTCTTTCCTCTTGCAGAGATTTCTGCAAGACAAATTTGACTCTGGAGACAAAAGCTATGCTTTGCTGCTTGGTCTCAGGGAGAGGAGCGTGACTCTGGCTGATGCTGTGTTTAGCTCTTTGGAGCCCTCTGTCTGGGACACCTCACAGCACGAGAATAACATCACTACGTGTGGTTCCTGAAGCCCCCGTGCTTTCGATTGGTGGTGATTAGAAAGTCCCAGTTAGCTGGAGCCTGATCCCTTAACACTCAAGCATTTCAAGGGAGCAGGGTCCTTTATAGTCATTGTATCAGGCTCAGAGTGATTGGCTGCTCTGTTACTTAACCAGTGGGAAAGGAGACCCTATTTGTCTTCCTTATAAAAACAGAATTAAAGAATAAAATGCTTCCATCATGCTTTTTAAATACCAGTCGGAAAAGTCTTAGCTTATCTTTTCCCGCCAAAGTCAAATGCTTTAGAATTACAACTTAATAATCAAGGACATTGGGACACACATCTCATGGAATAACGTTTGCATTCCTGGTATGCAAGAGAATGTTACCTTAGCTTTGTTGTGTCAGACAGCAGAGTATTCGGTGGTGGCAGTCATGCTGTCTCTTTCCCCTTGTCCCAGTGGCTCTGTGCTCTCCTGGGGAGAGTAACAGAGGCGGATCACTGTGTTTTTGTGGGTATCTCGTATGTGCTACATTCATAGCGAGATGAAGCAGGGTAACTAAATAACTAGTGTAAAAGTGTATTTCATGCATAGATTTAAATAGAAGCTGTGTATGTAAAGAGAGAGGGAAGGAGAAGGACAGAGAAGGGGAGAAGGAGAGAAAGAGAGAGGAGGTTTTTTTTGAGGAAGGATGAAATAGATAATTGTGAATTAAAAACAACCTAGAATCTTTTTTTTAATAAAGATTCTATTTATTTATTTGACAGAGAGAGACACAGCGAGAGAGGGAACACAAGCAGGGGGAGTGGGAGAGGGAGAAGCAGACTCCCCGCGGAGCAGGGAGCCCGATGCGAGACTCGATCCCAGGACCCTGGGATCATGACCTGAGCCGAAGGCAGATGCTTAACGACTAAGCCACCCAGGCACCCCACAACCTAGAATCTTTAAGTTCATTTTTTTTTAAGTTGAATTTCCTCCAAAATCTATTACCAGGGTTACAATACAAAGGTAAACTTGCCTGGCTTTGTTTAATCTTTGCATGTGTATTTAGCATTTATTGGGTTTCTACTATTGTGTTAGTCGGGGGAGATACACAAGTGAATGAAACAGTCCTTGTGTTCAGGTACAGACAAACAGATGATTTCATCAGTGTGGTCGGTAGTGCTGCCAAGGAGAGAGGGTGCATATGTGCTATGAGTATTCCCTCTCCCGTCCTTTGCTTCCGTGGGTTAGAGGTATTGATGAAACAGAGATGTCAAAAGGAGGACAGAAGGAGAAACAAGGTATCAGACATAATACAGGACTCAGTACATAGAGGATAGATCAGGCCTGAACTCGGCATTCTGGGTCCTGGGGAAGATAGGTACGCCATTCCTGTTTGTGCAGAAGCATGTGTTTTTTCATGCATGTGAAGTCCTTTGTATACACTTGATTTATGTAATTTAAAGGAGAGGCAAAGTAGGCACTTCCATTTGGGCAGTAGCAAAAAGAACATGAAAAATGGATCCCTGGAAACTTTTCCCAGTGTTCACAGCATTATTTAAAAGACCTAATGTGATGTCATGTATGATTTATGCTGTGTAGGTGTTTTTCTACTGTGTTCAAAGCAGATAGGTATTAGAGTGTAATATATTATGTAGTTTCAAATATAAAAACCGCCTAGTGATGTGAAGAGATAAGGTGTTGTACTGCTGATCAGATAGCGCAGAATAACTGTTTTTGGTGGCAAAGCTTTTATTTTTTTTTTGGACATTTTTATCCTAATGAAACATTCAGTAGTCTAATTTCCTATATTCCCTACTTGTACCTTGAAGACTTGGTCCAGTTCTTCTTTCTTACATATGTATATTTTTTTTCCCTTCCTTTTTTGTCTTTTTTTTCCTTTCTTCCTGTATAGATGCACACCTGTATAGATGTTTAAAGCGCCACCACCGGTTGGAAGGAGAGCAACACCTGGGTAAGAGTCTTGGATCCCATTTATAGCTCTGGTATCAACTTACTTCTAACTCTGAGTCCCTCCAATGACTCCCACTTTGTCCTGGGCTTTTGCTTTTGCAAACGTATGTTAAAAATGCATTTGTACTCACAGAGTGCTTTGTTACCTACTTGAAATGAATATAAGAAGATTAAGAGTTTAAAGTGCTTTTAGGAATAGCAGAGTCGGCTGTCTTCCAGTTCTTAATTTCCAGTTGAAATTTGTGGTGATGTCATTTCAAAACAATCCTAACAGGTAGAATACAGAGCACTTACATGGCTCCTGAGTAATTTTTAGAAAATGGAAGCCTTTAAATGAGAATCCCAGCTTTGCTTTTACAGTTGTTGATTTCAGTCATGTTCTGGGCTGAAGTGGTAGGAGACAAGCTAGAGACAGTGAACAGTATCCCACCCAGAGAGAATTTCACACCCGCTAGACTTCCAAGTGCCAAGTATGGCTTCCCTAGAGTGGTTTTCAAGATGTTTAAGTATAAAAAGCTACAAAACCTATCTTAAAATGGGACAAAGCTGCTGTCTGGAAGGCCCAGGCTCTCACTCCCTCTGCCAAGGCGGAGGCTGAGGCCGTGTTTAGGGATCTTCTGCATCGTGATAGAACTCCAGAACCTCTGGTTTCTCCAGATGGAGGAACAGTTTGGGGAAACCTGGAAACTCGGTCACTGTGATGATGCCTTAGGAAGGAGAACCTTTTCTGGCTCCTTGATTTTTCAGAGCCCTGTTTTATAAGGATGTGATTCTCCCTAACAGGTTTAGTGTATCTTTTAGGTTGCCTCATAAGGATTCGGATGAATATTGTCATGTTTGTGTGAAGTTGAAGGGACCATTCTGGGAGTCTTTTACATGCAGACATGGAATTTGTAATGATTCTTGTTTCCTTTAGCATTTGGGTAAATGTTGCCCCAAATTTCTGAATTTCAGAGTTTGAGGAGAATTCAGTGAAAGGTGGCTGGCTTCATAACATACTAGCTTTGTGACCTTGAATACATTACATAAGAGTAAGTAAGAGTAAGAGCTGTAAGAGGAATATCACCCACCTCATGGATTGGCTGTTATAATTTAATAAGATAACTGCTTCTCATAGTGTCTGGCATTTAGCATGCACCAACAAACAGTACCTACCACCATCATTATCATCATTATTTTATAAAATGGCCAGTCTTTATCAGACATTACATGTTTCTTAAAGATTTTTTCAAATACTCCTCTACTCTTTTTAGGGACTGGGAGCTTATTCTATCCCCAGGCAGGTCCATGTTGCCTCCTTCAGAAACTCTTCCTCATATTGGTTCTCTGTCTTCTTATACATTTCTCCCCAGTGGTCCCTTCTGTGCTCTTACCTGTGACTCTTAAACCTTCTTCTGTTTTCCCTGTGGCAGACATTCAGCTGCTAGAAGTCAGTAGTTGTATTCCTTCTAGATATTATTTAACACCTTATTATCCATATTTTGCAAAAGAGAAAACTGAGGGTCACAAAGATTAATTAATTTCCTTTTGGTTATATAGCTAATAGGTTGTCAAAATAGTGTGAACCCAGTACCTTTTGATGAGTTCTCTAAATTCCTTTTCCATTGTGGCCCCTAGTACTGAGCTTAGTACCCGAGGTATTGTCTGTGACGCACAGAGTAGAGAGTAGGATTATTGTTTTCCTAGTTTGGGACCCTATGGTCTTTTGTTATTTATTATACCCATCACATTCTGTATCTAACAAATGTTTATTGAATACTGAATGAACCCAACCTAGTAGCCAAGGTGCTGCAATCATATAGCCACGAATAAAGCAGAATCCCTGCCCCGAAAGAACTTTTGTCTTAGTGGCAGAGCTAGTTATGGGGTCCAAAGCAATTAAACATGCAGGGCCCCTTGTTCAGAAAAGCAGGGAGAGCTGGGCCTTTAAAGGTGTAAAATACAAAGTTTTTTTCTTTTCTTTTGTGGTCTCTTATGTTGTTTTTTTCCTTGCTGTTTAATGTTATTCTAAATAAAGAATGATTAAAAATTTAAATTATTAGCATGAACTTTACCATTCATCATTATATTGTGCAGTGCTGGTTTTAAGTGCAAATATAAGGTCACTAAACTTGTAGGTGGAATGACTGAAATTATGCAATTCATGTTTTCCATTCTTACCAGAACAGTTGAAACATTGCAAAACTGCCTTGGTTGTTTTTATTTTATTTTATTGCTTTTAAAATATGTATGTATGTATGTATGTATTTATTTATTTATTTATAAGGGGGAGAGAGAGAGAAAGGGAGCAAGAGAGTGCACCAGCAGCAGGGGCAGAGGGAGAGGGAGAGAGAGAATCTCCACTGAGTGTGGAGCCTGATGCCACGACCCTGAGATCAAGACCCGAGCTGAAATCAAGAGTCGGTTGCTCAACAGACTGAGCCGCCCAGGCGCCCCTATTTCATTTCTTGATATGTGCATATCCTACCTACATTTTCTACTTTGGCTTACTGATAAATAAGGAAGAACTGGAAGGAAAACAAACTACAGGTTACTCTCTCTTTCACTTTCTTTCTATGGCGTTATTTTCAGCATAAATAGTTGGCTAACATTTAGAACATTGTCGCCTTCTTTCTGTAATCAAATCAAGTTCTGGTTCAGATGGAAAGCATGGCCATCTGGGGCTGTCCGTGGGTCTGCTTACTTACTACTCAGTCATAAACATAACACACTTACCTTGTACTTGTCTGGAGTCTTGCTAAACTCCCACCCATTGTGGGTCCCCTGGAATTCTGTTCTCATGGGGCGTCGAGAAAGCTACATGCAATGAGGTGGAAAGGAACTATGGGCGTACACATTGTCTCATCAGATTTCACTTATAACACGCAGTTTCAAAGATAAAATTATTGAGAATTTGAAGATGTTGACAGATAGGCATTAAACCAAGTGTGGGCTGCTCTGAGAGGAGGGCTCTGTGTGACTTCACCTGTCGTACATCCATAATGCTGGCCCTGCCTACTGGAGACACAGATAAGCCTAATCCGAGGCAGTTGGAAGCTGAGCACTAGCTGAGACAGCTCTACAGGGTTGGGCACCTGGCAAGACCGGAAAGTTTCAGGGAAAAGGTGACGTTTGAGTAGCCATCGAGAGACTGCTTTGATAAACAGAGGCAGTGATGACCGTTAACAATACTGTATCGTATGTTTGAAGGTTGCTAAGAGGGTGGATCTTGTAAGTTCTCATCACAGGAGAAAAATTTTGTAACTGCGTGGTGATGTTAACTGGACCTGTTGTGCTGTTCATTTCACAGGATACACATATCAAATCATTATATTGCATACCTGAAACTAGTATAATGTTATATGCCAATTATATCTCTGTAAAAAAAGAGCGGCATTAAAAGGGTTTCTACATGAGGGAAAACTTGTGCTATGGTATGGTGGGAGGGAAGTACAGAACTCAAATTCAGGGAGCAGCTAGATTCCAGGGTGGCCTGAGCAAAGTGAACATGGTAGGTTAATAGAACATTTACTCTGTGTGGCATGAGAATAATTGAATAAGATCTTTACTTCTTTATTCTCATTTATATTGCATAGGGTCTATAAATCTGCAAACATAGTCCTAAGAGAAACATCAGATTTATATATGTGATTTTTCAATAATAATGTAAGTAATTTATATTAACTTTAGACAATTTCCCCCCAAAAATGAAACACCATTAATTCTCTGCCTTGCTTTTGGAATGATTACAGTTAGAGATATAAATCTTGATTTTTTTTTTCAAATATATCTGCTTGAAGAAAGGATTAGGTGAACATGATGTAGGTTTCTTTCTTTCTATGTGAAAATTCCAGTGAGTTTTAAAATGTTGCCTTTATCTTGTCTCAGAGATAGCATGTAACTGAGTTCTGATACCTTCTCCGGCAGCCTGAGACAGGAGCTCAGAATTGGGCAGGAGACTTACTCATCTGGACAGATTTAGGATTGGGATATGGTATGGTCCCTTTGGGTCCATGGCCAAAGGGTGTGGGAAGCCCTTTTAGGATTCTAACTTGTCTCTCAGAGTTTTGGCTGCACCGTCGCATGTTTTGAGGCGGTCCGTCCTTGGTCAGCTGCGTTTGGGTCCTCTTCCTTCCGTTGTGGTGGGGGCTTCCATCAGGCGTCTTGTCTGTGAATGCCTTAGGATTTGGTGCATTTCTGGTTTCTACTTCTTTCAGTTGTGATTTTCTCCCTATCTCACAGCTTCCCAACCACTGTGTCATTACCTTTGGTTTGGGGAGCCTGAATGCTCAGTCGCTGCATTGAACAGCTCCAGCTCCCAGGCTGAGAGGCAGGCTAGAGCAAGACAAAGTCATAGAAACCAAAGCCCAGACCTAACCCTGAACATGTGTGTGCACGTGTATGTGAATGAAGGCACGCGTCTGTGTGCACCCGTGGGTAGGTGTGGAGCACTACGACTCAGTGGGAAGTTGAACACAATTATCACTACTGACGACATCTGACTTCCAGTAGGCAGTGTAAGAGGCTTAGGAATCTTGGTGAAAGCCAGTATCTGGAAGGGCGACTAGCTCCAGATCCTCATGCAAGGGTGGCCAGTGGGAACTTAAATGCTAATTGTGTTATATCTAGATCAGCTTGGAACCAGACCCTGAGGCGTCAGGAGGAGGTGAAGGAGGGTAGTGGTAGGAAAAGAAAAAAAAAAAAATCAGAGGCTAACAACAATGTTTTTCCTATGCATGGAATATTTCTCCATTAATTCATTGTGTCCATTATAGACAATCTCAACATAGGTTTACAGTTTCTCCATAGAGGTCTTGTGCATTCTGAAGTTAATTTAAAGATATTTTGTTCTATTGCATATATCTTATTTTCTTTTATATTTTCTACTCAGTTATTATTTTGTAGAACAATGTTGTGGATTTTTATAAGCCAATCTTGAATGTAACCACCTTGCTCTCATTTCTTAGTATTTTTTATTTTTAATCTACTTACATACTGATTCTTTTATTTCTTATCCATTGG